ATCCAAGGTACTGTTGGAAAGCTGGCGTCGCGTAGAATCAGGGCGCCCAGTTACGATGCTGCATCCGAAGGACGCCCGGGCAATCTGCGGTCAAAATCAGCACTCCACCAAAACTCCGCCAGAGTGAAAACCACTTTCATAACAGGCTGTAACTCTACCAATATTGGTGCCGGATAGACGTCCAAGGTACCGTTGGAAAGCTGGCCTCGCGTAGAACCAGACCACTGAGTATGGGATGCCGCGCCGGAAGGACACCCGAGGAATCACACGTCAAAGTCAGCAATTAACAAGAAGCTCGCTAACTTGGCAAAGCAGGCAAAGTAAACAACTAAGTCCGGAATGCAGGGGAGCCAGTAGGGGGGGAGCTGGTAGGGGGGGAGCCGGTAGGGGGGGAGCCAGTAGGGTGGGACCTGGTAGGGAGGAGGTGGTAGGGGGGTGGTTAAGGGGGAGTGGCTGGCAGCTGTGTTTATCACTCAGAATCTCAGGATGGTAACTATTAGTGGTAGTTGGCATCGCTTACTTAGGATTTAATCTAGATGTGGCGCTTCCTAGCATAAGCACTAGGACGCAACCTGACTTGGTGCCCAACTACCAGACGCACACGACGCAACCAGACCCAGCGCCCGAGTCCCAGACGCACAGGACGCACAGGATGCAGAATTCTTCGTACTTGCATCAGGACGCACTGCGCACGCACCTGACGCAGGAATAATTTTTGCTGATGTTGCTCTCTTGCAGTTTTGATAATATTCAAAAAAAGTAGTATTTGAAGGGCAGCCAAGTGGTACACACAAGATAATTGCTAGTATGGATACGACTTTGAGTCCCTAAAATGCCTGGTTGCTGAAGGATTAGCCAGTGTTTGTACGATAGGAAGCTAGTTGATTGGGGAATTCTGAGCATGTACCAATCATCTTATTACTTTTCAATGAGGTGATATTGTCTTGGAAAATTCAGGCCATGATATCCTAATTTGTAGACCCCCGATACAATACACAATACAAACTGCAGTGGGACTTGAACTCCTGTCCTCCGAAACTCAAATTTGGTAATAGAATACCCTTACCCTCACTGCTTAAAGCATTTCAAGGTGCACCCCCCCACCCACGGTCCACATTATAGACGCTGTCCACCATACCTCAGATAATTCATAATGGTTTAGGTTATTCCCGCGAGAATGTGATGCGATACCACAATCCTATCATCACGCTTCTCGTCACGAGGCTGCGAATTTTTTGGGTGAAAAAAAAAAACCCCCCCACAAGGGGTCCAAAACGCGAATCAATTCTTCTCTCAAAAGAGAAAAAGAGAATAGTATACAGGTAGATTTCCCTCCTCCTTTCAATTCCTCTCTATTCGCGCACTTCCTCCAGGATGATCCAGCTATATGAGATCATGTGCCGGTCGGATTCCCCACCAGGTCAAGAACATTGCCAACCCCACCGTCTCGACCAGACCGGCAGTAGCACGGACAGCAATGTACTCCGCTGGGCGACGCTCCTGAAATAATTGTGAGACCACCTGTGTAATCCCTCCCACCTCATCAGTAAAAGTTATCGCCAACCCCACTCACCCCACCCCTCCTGGGAATCAATAAAACTGACAGTAGGAACCGACGTGGCCACAAACACAAGTGCGCCAACATACGCAGCACCCTTATAACTCAACGCGGCCGAGTGGCTCAGCAGCGCAGCAACAGCGTACGTCTGTGCACTCGACCCGACGAGCGAGGAGCCCATCAGCGTGGCGGATTTGATGGCCTCCTTGGACTTTGCAAACTCCGACTTGGAGTCCGCCTTCATCGCCTTGTGGTATGTCTCGCCGAAGAGTGGAGACATGACGGCCAGGTTTGCCGTGTGGGTGAAGAGAGTGCCGAGGGCGATGGCGCTGGGCTTGACGGATGGGAGATACTGGATTGCGGAGGAGGCTCCGGTGTATCTGGGATTTTTGTTAGGACGTGAGCCATGGCGACGGGGAAAAGGCAGGGGAGACGTACGGGGAAGCCATTTTTTTGGTGTTTATTTTGCTTGCTTGCTTGTTCGGTTCCGGTTTAGGAGAGAGATTGAACTTCCCCCCTTTCTTCACTTTCTTCAAATGGGTCGGTCTGCGCGTTCGTTTGCTCAACCAGAGACAGTTGGAGCAAGAGAGAAGATTGCATTGGGAGTCCCTAGTATTTAAAAGGATCCCACCCCATGCCATACTTCTAGCCAATTCGTATGCATGACCGCATAGCACACTTGTCCCAAGACGGATCATCTCATCCAGACTCGAGTCAAGCCCTCACCCCTCCTGCCAACTGCCTCGCACAGTGCAGTGATACTCTCGAGTGTGGCGGAAAGCCACTGACCGGCACGGGGCATGTCGTTGTCGTCACCGGGATCCACCTGTGGTGTTCGTGATGTCATGTATCGTCATCACCTCACATTGTGGCGCCACAGCCGGAATCTTTGGCAGCCACAGCTTGGCGGAGCGGGCGGGAAGCGGAGGTTGGGAAATCTTGCGCGAGCGTGACCTTGGGCGTGGTGGCTTGCGGAGGCTTGGAGGGGAAAACGGGGACGGTAGACATTGGCTCTGGTTGAAATGCATGGGTTGGTTGGCTGCAGAGTGGGTTAGCTTGTCAGGCCGGCCGCGGCTTGGGTTGTTAATTTACGGTACTTGTATGGTACAGTGTGGTACAGTATGATGCAGTGCTCGAGTAGGACACTGTCCGGTGGCCATCGACCGTGTCCATGACCTTTCAATGCCACTTTGGATGAACAATTGGGTCCAGCTCCAAGAATGGACTATGGCAGGTTGCAACATCTCGCTTCAATTTCGTCAGTGTCGAATTCATCCTTTCTTTCTTCCGCACCCCGGACCTGTCAATGAGGCGCCTGGACAACTATTTCAGCCTCAATCTGACCCCTTGGTTCTGTCATAGCGGTAATTCATCAGCCAATCGGGGAGCACGAAACTGTCGGGTTTCCCCAATTGTGATGCAAAGCGTGCTGGAGAGCGCGTACCTTTCCTTCTTTTCTCCCTCGCGCCTGGGAGTGGAGCCCCGACAACTTGAACCCGCCTGCCCGCCTTGCAGCTCCAGGCGTCCATGATACTCGCAGGTTTTTGGGCTAGCCAACGGGGGAGCAGTCCGAATTGTCATGCGAGTGCCAGCACTGTATGGATAAGAGGTCTGCTTAACCCGTCAGTGGAATTCCCACATTGGGCTCGATTTAATATAACATCATAGGCGGGCCCTTCCGAAGGGGACCGGATTGCGAAGTTGTGTCTCGCAGTGGAAGCGGCCCTTTTTAAGTTATGGCCCGCAGGTGCCGTGGTAGCTGTTGTGTGTTGCCCACCTCTCAGCGCCAGCTAACTCACGGTTTACGATGTGGAGAAGAGTACACACTTTTTCAAACGGTTTACTGTTTCGTGTAGGTCAATATAATCGCTTGGGTGTGCCATTATTATCATCATTATTATCATCATCATCACCATTGTTATCTGCTGTTATTGCAATCATAGAAAGAAAGAAAGGGCAGAGGGTAAACCGGTGTCTTGAGGGCTCCCTTCTTTTGTCGGTGCCTATCATCCGTGGCTGTCTTCCATTTTTCCTTTTCTCCCTCTCTCTCTCTCTCAAAACCACACACACTCTCTCTCCCTCTTCACCCACTCTCAACAACAAACTTTCCACTGGCGGGCGCTTTCAATTTACCTGAAAAATAAGGAAAAATAAAAAACTCAGGGAGATCCATTCCTCTCTCTGTCTCTGGTCTCTGTCTCTGGGTTTGAGCAGTCTATCGTACGGACTGCAAGATAAGTTTGCGGGAGCAGGCGGACGGAGCCCCAATCTGCGTTGTTAGGCTGGGAAAGAAACTCTTCCTTCGCCAAGGCCACTTACCTACCCACCTAACCTCTCCTTCCCTTCCTTTCCCTCGCCCCATTACTAAGCCAATCCTTTCACCCTCCAAATTCACACGGCAGCCCGACACTATCACCAGAGCCACCCCAAGGTCCCAAAGTAATAGCTACCACCAAGTCAACCAAAAAAATAAAAGCTATCACCGGTGCGACCGTTCATCTCCATTTGAACGTTCCGATAGCTTGAGCTTCTGCGAGAGATCAGGTCTTTCTCCTTCTCTCTTCGCGGCGGTATCTTGTTCCAAAACAGAATCTGGCCGTTTGCCCATCAACAGTGGGAAAACTCTCCCGCCTCCGTCTGTCGCGATCCTCTCGCAACACACAAGAAACTAATTACCCCCCTCTGTTCTCGGATTCCTGGCCCCCATCGTCCAATCAAACCATCACTTCTGTCCATCGCTTCAAGAGGGAAGATGTCGAATCAAGTGGTTGTGAGTTTTCCCCCGCTTTCTTCCCTTTCCTTTGTCGCCGCATTCTCGTCCCCCTCCTCCACCTTCATATCTCCTTATCCGTTTCTCTTATTTTTTTTTAATTTTTATTCTTTTGTTTTATTCTTTTTTAGAGGCTCCGATTATCGGGGACGAACTCGTGAGCTAGGCGATGTTAATAAGAAAAATAGGGTGAAGTTTACCAACGTATTATCGAGGAAGTTATCGAGACTAGTATCATCGACTTTGAGGAAGCTGGTGTTAATGCATCGACTTTGCAAGAACTGAAGCAGGTTAGTTAAAAAAGAAAGCTGGAGTTCCCATCCGTTTTGTTGCTGCCCCTTTGCTCTTCGGTCACTTTCTTTTCTTTTCCTTCTTCTTTTTTTTTTTTTTTTTTTTGCTTGAAGGGGGGGCGGACCCCCCTCTATGAGGCGGGCCGGTTCTCTTCTTACTCCTTCTCTCCCTCTCATATTTGCGGAGTCACCTTTATATGCTGTTGCCTCCTGGGCAGTGTAGGGATTGGAGGGGGGGGGGGGAGTGGTGTGCTCCGCTTATTTCCCTGTTTTCTTTGCCTATTTTATCCCAAATTGTCTTTTCCTAATCGGTTGTATTTTGTGCAATTTACGGTTTCCTATCTGAGCCATCCGAGGCTTTCCCCACCGCAAGTCACAAACCTTGATGAAGCCTTGGCTGACTGGTCTTTGCTCTTTTTTTTTGCTTCTTTTCTCCCACAGGTCTGGCAATCCAAGCTCACGGATCTTAATGTCGCTACTTTCCCATGGGACCCCCCATCGGAAGCTCCACAAGCTTCTGCCTCGGCCACTGCCCCGAACCCACCCGCAAAGGCTCAGAATAATGGTGCCCAGCAACCAAATGCTGTCAAACAAGAACCAGGTGCTCAGAACCCTAACCCACAAACTGTCAATGTTGGTGTTAGAATCAAGCCGGAGCCGGTAGCCGAACCCCAAGGTGTCTACGCCCCGCCTGCGCAGCCCACCGGAAATCCAACCCATAATCCGGCTCTCGCTGAGGCAAGAGCCCGTCAAAATCTCGCCCAGAGGTTCGGGAACAACCCCCAATTGCCCAGACCTGCCGGTGGCCTAGTTCTTCCCGCTCTCATTACCAATCCTCAGCAGAGACAACAGAATGGCATTCCTCAACACGATGGTGGCGGTGAAGAAGCTATTCCGATCGAAGGATATGGCAACATTAGTAGATCGGAAGCGGACAAAATATTACTTTGTCGCATCAGTGATGCCGAACGTGAGAGTGACAGGGCTACTGATGAACTCGTCAAGGCTTTGAGGGACCTCGGACACTCCCCTAAGTCTCCAAAATCTAGGAGACGCCAAAAGGCCCAAGATGCCTACGAGGAAGCACTTGATCCTTCGAATCATTACCCTCACGCTGCCCCTGTTCCTACAGTTCCCGGCGCTGCTGGTACCCCAGGCTCTTGGTCAGCGTCTATGAAGCAGGTGGATGGGGAGTCTGGTGACGAGGAGGTTGTCGACGAAGACGCCATCAATTCCGACCTCGACGATCCCGAGGATGACGAGATTGATGGCGAGGACGATGACGAAGTGCCGCAGATTATGTTGTGCATGTACGATAAAGTCCAGCGTACCAAGAACAAGTGGAAGTGTGTTCTCAAGGATGGTGTCTTGACTATCAACCAGACCGAGTTTGTCCCTCCTTCACCAGCACATGTACGGAGATAGTCAAGATGCTAACTTGACTAGATACGTCTTTCATAAAGCCACCGGCGAATATGAGTGGTAAATGGTGGTTCGGCATGCACGGTCCCGGCGAACTTCGAAATAACCCTCTCCAATTCAATTCAAAAGTTTTACCCGATCTGGTGGATTCCGCAATGTTACACTCAAACAGTTCTCGGAAAGGCGAGATATCAACTGTTTTTTTTTTCCAAAAAAACACTACTGATCATTAAGTTGAACCAAATCCAGTAGTTTATCTTTTTTTTTTTCCCCTTGCTCATCTTTCCTTTGCTCTTTTGTTGCGTTCTCATGGTGCACATGTATTTCCTTTTTTTCCCTCCACTCATTTCTTTTCATATCATTTCATGGGTCCTGTCTATTCATACTTTTGTGGTCATTATTCCACCCTGTTTGTTCAAAACCATGGATGTAAAATTCCCTTTATCCCGTTTACACCTCTCCTATTTCTTAGCATGGCTCTTTTATTTGCTTGTCCTTACGGATCCAGAAGTGCGCTGCGGTGCACAGCGGTGCCGATACGGAGAGGCCATCCAGTATGTGGCACACGTGATGCGATTCAAGTAGAAACGGCAGATGCTTTCCTATTTTACAATGGGTGTTAATTTGCTGGGGGCTTGGGTAATTTGATTCCTTTCTGTTTTCCTGTCTGTGTCTGGTTGGTGTACGTTATTTCATGTTGCTGGTTTACTTGCACGCTTGTCTGGGGAATGGGATGGGTGGGTGGCGGGGCAGGGCAAGGCAAGGGGGACATGGAATGGAACGGATGGGTGGGTGGGGTGTATGGATATTATTAAAACAAAAAAAATTCTCGCCATTTGTTGTGCGATTGTGACCTGAGCTGTTTACTGTTGTTGCTGGGTGAGCTAGTGAAGGAGTATAAAGTTGGAGCCTCCTGCCAAGTTTATCCGATACCGTACTGTATTCCCTCCACCAGCGCTGTTCCCTTCCAGCCATATTGGTGCAGAGGGGGAGCGGGAACGTGGGATCATCGTATTTCCGCTGAGCGCACCGCGCGAGCATGGTGCTCGTGAGCAGGCGTGCCAAATCCAGAGCAAAACACCTCTCACCACTCTACGGTAGTCCAAAAGGGTTGAAGAAATGATGGTCACAAATTCCACAGCAGATTAATCGTAATAGACAGGATTAAATTCTATATACATTCTCAATTGCTATGCCCAACACGCCCATAACCAGAAATTCGGCGGAGAGTAAAGCACCACCACCATGCACAATCGTCCCCCCGCACCCCCTTCACCTGCAATGGCTCCCTCCCCTCGAGCAGCTTCCTGGCGCGGCAGACAGAGCTGTGCCCACTGATGGATAACTTTGTTCAAGCCCCAAGAAGGAGCCCGTTGATTGACCGGTAGGTCCAGGAAAAGCCCCTCTTATCATAGAAGCCAGTGATGGACAATATAGCAGGGCATCCAAGTGCAACAAAGGGGTTGTTTCCCAATCGGTCCCGACGCTCACTCACTGGACATATTGTAATCTTGGTCGCCTCTATTCTTCTATATCTCTTTGTGCTGTGCTATCTGCCTCTTGTCTAGCATCCTCACGGTGATTTCCTTTTATTTTTTTGCCCTCTGGATGGTGAATGGATCATGTATGATATAGCATCATAGCCGAAGAATGAGACTTCACCTGGATTCTATGATATACGCTTATACCAGCGATCCCCTGTGGGGTTGGTATCCTAACCGTTAGAGATCAAGACCTTTCTCTCCTGTTCATACCCCCCCCCTAAAAGGAAAGAAAGAAAGAAAAGAGTGGGTCCAATTTCTCAAAATTTTGGAAAAAAATTAACTTTTACCCATCGAATCATTATCACGTTCATGGACCCCAACGCCGCCGCCATCCGGAACAAGCACACATGGCCAGGTTCTAGCACGCCGTAGTGAAGTGAGTGAGTGAGGTATAGTAGGTTCAGGGATGCGAGATGTTCGTATCATATTACAAGTATGATAGACCTAGGCCGATAACGTACCATGCGATACCGTACCAGAAGCCACGCAGCGCCGTACCGGGCCACCAGCCACGCGAGTAGTTGCCACATTAGCGTTGTCCCTGTCAACAGCGAGGGTACTCAAGCGAGTGACGTGTGATGAAGTACTACTCAGTACGATACCTTCACCACCGTATTCCAGTACGGTATACCAGAAACACCCGGCCTCGAATGGAAAAGTCTCCGTACGACAGTAATCAGACACCCCACAAAAAAAACCCCTGCGAAATTTCCGTGTGCTGGCGAATTCTTTTAACTGGGGGGGGGGGGGCGGGGCGGGGTTAGGACTTAGGCCATCCCACAAGTGTCCACAAAATCACACCGGCCTAACTTTATTCCTTCCTTTCCTGCCCTGCATGGTATCACACGATACGATATACATAATCTCCACAACTTCATAATCACGTGCCCTCCACACACATGCACGGGGGTATGATAGTAGTAAATAATCCGGAAGAAAAAAACTATCCACCTTCCTTACCCAATGGGGGTCCCTTCCATAGCCCCCCCCCCAGCGAAGACCGGACATAAGTTAACAATGAACAGAAAAAGAAACGTAGCCCCACCGTCGGAATATTTCCGGGGGGATTCCGGTGGAGTTGGTTCAGGTGACTGGTATCCCTCAGTCATCTCGGTGATTCGCACTCCGGCTCGCCGCTCGGCCGGCCGGCCGGACCGAGATTCCGTGGGGAGGGAATGCTTTTGTAAGAGCGGTGGGGGTTCACGCTTGAAATGATATAGCGCTTTAACTGTGGTTCGTTGATGGCGTTGAGTTGCGTGGTGATATCCGGGGTTTTAGTGAGTTCGCTGTGGGAGTGTTGTATTTGCAGTGTATTATCTATCTAACAAGTGCTGGTCTGGTCTGGTGCGGAAGTAGTCTACTCTGGGAGGGGGGGGGGGGGGTATGTGGGGAGTATGCTACAACCATTCCAACCTTAGTTCATACAAGTGACGAGTGAGCAATCATGACCACTTGAATGCCCCTGGGTACGTGATACGATATCATAAGCAGAAAAGGCAGGCAAGCACTCTCTCCTCCTCCTCTAAGCCGAGAATAGGACCCCCCCCCCTCCTTCCTGCACCTATAGCATGACGACGATTCCGTAAGAAACGTAAGCAAGAAAGAAAGAAAGGGCATAAAAAAGGGCTGAACCTTCTTCCCACAGAGCTGAGAACATAACCAAACTACGGCACATTACGTTACATGGCAGCGCATCGCAAATCATAAAGTCCCACAGGTATGATAGATAAACGGATCGACCCACAACATCGGCATCACACAGTACAAGTAGCGTACAGCGACAAAATCCCAAGCCCCATCCACCGGCTAAAAATAAAATAAAAACACCAGTATCATACAACATAATAAATAAATAAATAATACTGGTATCACCTTGGCATACACTCAGCTTTCTTTCTTCCTTTCTTTCTTTCTTTCTTTCTCTCCACTCTGGATACGAGCAAGTAGTCATATATATTATCGCCGGAGAAAATCCCTATCCAGCCTCAGATCGCGTTCTCGCACATCTTCTTCGGGCGGGGGTTCCGGGTCCGTCATATCACACGAATATCATACGAGTCGTTCATTCTTAATATTTTTTACCGATTTCGGTATCGTGCTCTTGCTATTGCTAGCCTTTTCGCCCTTTTTGGTGCTGTGCAGTTATTACGACATATGAAATACTCCCTCGCACATAGCACCAACAGTGGTAGATCGGAGGGACTATAGTACTGTGAAATGCCCGCGCTCCGATGGCAAAAGGAGAAAGAGGGTGAAAAGAAAGGAAAAAAAACATCAGGCTCCGGCGGAATTTAATTTTGTTTTTCATTTTTACTTTCGTGCAAAAGGGTATGGGTCAGTCCGCTGGAGAGGATCCGCGGGGAATATCATACAAAAACTGTAATACCCCGCGAAGGCCACCGAAAGCGGTAGTGACACTGCTTTCTCTGCGCTGTATCATGTGTTACAGCGTTCAAATTTCTATCGTACCTAGGGGAAACTTGAGGCCGCAAGGGTAACAATGTATAATATGATGATAGCATCATAATATATGCAGCTGAACTCTAAAGTTTCCGCCAAGGTGAAGGTTCTCCGGCTGAAAACAACCGCCTTGGCGCGGGTTTGAAGGAAACCCTCTGCTGCCCGTAGCAAAGAATACTACATAAATTGACTACTCTTCAGAGAAATTTAAATTTCTGTCAAGGTTTACGATTAAAGTGCAGGTGTGATGGTCGACATCTCTTCCGAAGGTTCTATCAAGTCATCCCATTTCTAATGCAAGTATGATATCATATTGGTGCTGCTGGAATAAGCTGGTTGCTTTGGGGTCCACTCACTCCTCGGGACCCGGTTGTACTATGCTAGTACTGTACAAGGTACTCGTACAAGGTATTTGTACGAGTACAGTGTTGTGCCCCCCCCCCCCCCGGCCAAGGCCCGAGCCTCCATTTCTTCCTCCCCGCGCTCCAAGCGCCTGGAATCCTTCCGGGAGGGTGCTATACTATATATACTATTAGCAATTTTCCGACATTTGTGGAAACGACCGCTTGTTGCGCGACACCGAAATTTGGGGGGGGAGGGAGGAATTTTGGCGGTATCCAATAGTGGTCCTGCTTACAAACGTTGGGTACTGTACTAGCTGATACAGCCCTATCCGCAAAGCTCTGCTTCGACGGATCTCTCTTCCAGTAACGGCATTCCGTAAAGGATTTCCCCATTCTATCCTTTCCTTACCCCCCGCCGGGAAAGAATGTGTTATCGTTGAGTACCGTAACTTTATAGAAACCGGTCCTCGCATACTAGGCAACACCTTGTAGTGTGCAGTACGAGCCTGGCAACAAAAGAAACGCACCCCCCCCCCCCCTGTTTCCATACAAAACACCAATTTTCAATATGTGCCTACCTGGTGGCAAGGAATGATAAAAATTTGGTATTTTGTTTTGGCAGAGAGTTTAACCCAGGGATTCACATAGTTGGATTTCAGGCTACAGGAATTGTTCTACAAAAACTGAAAGTCTAAGCTCTGAATGGGAGGTCAAAATCCATGCCAAGACAGCAAATTTGTATGGGATTTTGCACAGCAACAGCCTAGCCTGGTTTCATGTCTCTGTATTGGCATCAAAGACTATTGATAAAAAATTGAAAAATTCATAATGTCAAGCTCCTTATGGATGCCTATCACACCATCAGAGTTTTGGGGGAAGGATTTGTTGTGGTTGCTGCTGGCAGCTAATTGAAAATGTGTGTTTTTGGTGGAAAACGGGGGGGGGTGCGTTTCTTTTGTTGCCAGGTTCGTACTGGTATCATAACTCTTGCTAACGCCAGGACCCTTCTGCGGTACCGATACAGCACCAAGCCTCTCTCCGCGAGAAGAACTCTACGGGCAAGGCTACACTCGAGTGCAGCACAGTGCTTGGGCATACGCCTAGGGTAGGGTCCCACTGGGATGCGTGTACTGTGCTATACTGTACATATTTTGCTCATTGGCACATTAAGTGTGTCACAGTACTGTACTAGTACAGTATCTCATCCAGGTGGTACAGTATGGCACTATATTCGGCGTCGATCATATTCCCGTAAAGTGGGCCCCGCTGTGAGCATGCCGGGTTCACTCCGAATGCCGTGCAGGTATCATACCGTAGTCTAATCAAGTTCGGTCGGGATAACCCCCGGAGTCGTGCTATCGTTTCCGCTTCTAGAGTACAAGTGCTACGCCGTACAAAGGTGTGGGGTATCGTGCCTCTGTTAAAAAACCCACTCATCCGTATACTCCCGAGTCCCGACCCCGGAAGAGGAAGGGAGAAAGAGAGGAAAAGAAAGGAAGCGCCGAGTGGCAGTGGGTAGAGCACAGCACTCATCTCATACCCCTCAGCGACGATCTCATATTATGGTGCTGGTACTTACATTTAGCACTGTAGGCTACACTTAACCATCTCACTCCGCTATCCATGCGTTCCATCTTGCGGGTATATATGGCTGGCGTAGTGGGACGTTGGCTTATGTTATCCCGGAGCATTATGCACTGCACTGTACAGTACAGTAATCTGGTACAGTTCGGTGACACATCCGATGGTTGGTTGTGCCTTGTTCATTCTACACCCAAGAATCGCGTTTCTCCCGTAGGTATACAGCAAAGCCAAAAGTTATTCACTTACGGCTATTATTCGCTCTCAGTGAGGCATTTGGCTACTATTACGAGCATGTCGAAAGCCGAAAAAAAAACTCCCGTAGTTCTGGAACCTATGCGACCTTTTTACATAAGGACTCCCGTTTCAATTCCAGAAGCTTAGGCTGAACTTCCAAGCTCTTCTGAGCGGGTCCATGGGGGAGGTTCCTAGGTGGTAAAACATTGCTCCTGGATTCTCGACTTCATCGGTGTACGAAGATAATTTGGTGGGAATTCATGGAGGGGTTGACAAAGTGAACTTAAATTGCTCATGTTTTTTTTCTTTACCATTTAGGAGTGGTTTTTCCGTGCTGAGACGAGGATCACGCAGCGCCAGGACAATGGGCGACCGGGATGAGCCCTGTCCAGGAGCTATAATGGCTTGGTCAGCGGCATAGCTCCTCTTCTGGGCAGTAGCTATCGCTTGATGAGACATCCATTGAGAACTCCCCGGATACCGTATGATACTTGTCATTGCCAACGCGGTACCGTTGGTGACCTAGTCACTTTCTTTTCATCCCCCTCTCCCTAGAATTTCACTGACCGAATAATTGTACCGTAGTCACAATCAAAACGGGTGTCAGCCCACGAGTACCAGGAAGCATTGCAATCTGTTTTGTTTCTAATATGCGGAAAAAGATTCTCCACAGCACAAAGGCCTGGATACCTGCTAGGGGAGAGAATAGAGGGGAAAAAAGTGCTCGTACAAGGCTGAAAGGAAAGGCCATAAAAGAGGCATTCCATGGGCATCTCTGTCTTGTCAATCGGGGATTGCGCCCAGAACCCCCACACTGTAAAGTAGGGGCAACAGCAAAGTGGAAAAGTAAGACTGACAGGGTAAAAAAAAAAAGAAAGAAAAAAAAAGGGAAAAAGCTATTTACTTTCCGGGATGAAGGCGGATAGCGCTATATTTCCGCCTGGACCTTTTGGAGTGCCGCGGTGAAGGCCGGGTTAGCCCTCATCTGACGAAGGCTCTCTGCCATCTCGTCAATTTCCTTCTCAGTCGCGGAAGCGTCGACCTCAAAACCGGTTTCAGGAACTGTAACGGCCCATTCGTGAGATTCCTCGCCTAACATAATGGCTTTAAGCCAACTCTTCAAGATGCCAGTATAGGTTCCATTAGTTTGCTTCGGACAAATGTTTTCGCCGCGGAAGTGGATTATTGAAACAGAGGAGATGAAGAACTGGAGTGACGTTAGAGAAATGCAGAATGAAATGCAGCATAGGGCGGAAACATACAGCAGTTCCTGCAGCGAAAGTCTCAAGGAGACGATCCTCCTTGGCAGCATCAACAAGATCCATCATTGTATACTTCCTCTCCACAATATCAAGTCCCTGGATTTCACCATTTGAAACGGTAAGACGATCTCTAGCCAGCTCGAGAACCGAGCGGCGAGTAACACCATCGAGGATAATCTTGTCATCCAAAGGCGCAGTGACCAATTCGACTCTCCCGGTATCCTTATTCTTCCAGATAACGAAGAAGTTGCTCGCCCCCGCTTCTGTCACCTGGCAGGATTTATCGAAAAGCCAAAGTATCTGATCATAACCCCTAGCCTGAGCTTCCTTTTGCGCCATCAGGGAAGGGCCGTAATTTCTGTTCAGTGTCACATTAGTATCAAGTCGCCAGAAATGGAAGCGACGATTCGGGAGAGGGACTCACGCTCCGACTTTGGCATATCCGAATCCACCGGGCCAAGCACGAATAGAATCCTCACGGCTCGCCAACAGCCTCATATTCTTCTCGTATAGAACGGGGAACTGGGAAAGAATGATGAAAAGCATGGCCTCGCGGGGCTGATGCACGCCCAACGCACCACCAGTACCAATCATGGTGGGACGGATGTACAAGAAGGAGCCAGGCTCCGGAGCCCACTTTGGCCCATCGGTAGCAAGCAAGATATTGATCAATTCCTCCAAAGCGGAGGGTGAGAAGCCGGGAAGGGCAATTCTGGTGCTGGAAACAAGCATCCTTGCCGTGTTTTTGGTGGGACGGAAGAGGCGCAGTGATCCGTCGAAACCACGGTAGGCCTTCATACCCTCAAAACACTCAGTGGCATAATGCAGGCAAGACGCAGTGGGCCACAGATCGATTGGGCCATAGGGTCTCAATTCGGGCGCCGCCCATCCCTTGGTCTCTGACCATTTCGCGGTGATCCAGTGGTCGGTGGAGACGTCGGCTTTTCCCCACTCAATCTTGCTGCTATCGGCTTGGAAGTGCCTAGGAGTCTTGGTAACCGTAACCTTCAACTTGGAAGGATCAAGCTCCGCCAGCTTCGGGATACCGATTGGAGTGGGGGAATAAGTAACATTGTTTGCCTCGACGCCATTTCTCTCCGCAACGGAGCTTGCCACAGGAGCAAAAGCCAAGTCCGCGGTTAGGGCGGAAGGGGGAGCCATTGTTGTAGGGATTTCGAAAGGGCCCGGTGTTTGTCCGCTTGTATCTGCTTGTGTAGGTAGGTGGTTGTGAGATGAGAGGCTGCAGGTTGTTAGGAAGGGTATGTAGTGGCAGCGAGGCAACAAAAGCGTAGATCCTCGGTATTAGTGCAATTGGAGAAATTTACAGACACAATACGTAATACTGATGGGAGTAACGACGAGGGAAAGGAAAGAAAATGTTCACGGGGCAGGGGGGATTGGAGGCTCTTTAAAGAATTTTGGCAAAGGTACTAGATTGCCTGACTCACTTGACCTGAACCCACATATCCCCACACAGCCAGCAACAAACCCCGAACTACGCCATTTCCAAAGAGAGAAAGGAGGAGGAGGGGAAAAAAAGGAAAAGAATAGCGAAGCTATAGTAGGATCCATCACACAAGGGAAAAAAAGAAAAGAAAAAAACATCCCTCCTGTTATTTTTAAATTCTTTTTTGAATACCTGGCACCGCTGAAGGTAATCTCGTGAGCCTCTACAATACCGCAGCACAACGCTTGGCACATGGCGACCAATAAGCCAATGTCCCTCCTTCCAAAATGTACGAATACAGTAGACGGAATGACGGCGACTGTTGTTAAACACGAACTCCGGGTCTAAGCGGTCCTACCCGATTGATTCGTCGCCAAAACCCGTACGAAACCGGTCGGTCGCTTCCGAGCCGAAAACCCCATCCGCACATCCTCTGCGACCCACCTGGCGAACCTGGAAGGGACCCCATGTGGGCTGGGGGGGACAAAGAGGGGACGGTGGAACCTGCTCATGTGGTTCGTCCGTTCAGTGTTCGTGAGGAACGCACCAGCGATGTTACCCCCGTTGACAATCATGAGATATGATTCGGCCAAAGACAAAAAAGTGTACTTTCCCCCCCCTCCAAAAAAAAGTTCCTTTGTTCTTTTTTGTTTTTTTGATCGACCAGAGAATGTTGATCCGGCTTGGCCCTCGCCTTTTCCTTTCCCCCCATGATTTGACTTTGACCATCACCTGGCTGGACCCCACAACGTTACTGTCACGATCCTAGGATTCCGAGCTGCCGAATAGCGTAGCAAGGGGTACAGTACGGTACTCGTACCGGTAAGTTCCTGTCGCCGAGGCCACGCAGTGCGAGATATCACTTAATTTGTCGGTACCATGATACCGGCACCTCAATCCAAACAAAAGTGTTGGCCCGAGTAAAACTACCCTTGGAGGGAAACCGCGGAAAAACCCAAACGAGCCTCTCTGCCGAGCCGCCTAATAATCCACGGGTGAGCTAGCTAAATCGGCTTAAGATTGCGGAAGTGTGTGTGTGAAACGCTCCTGGATCTGGAACCCGAGATCGAGTGATAATCCCGCGATTTCATCTAGGAGGGCAGATATGACGATCATTACCAAGTGTTTTTTTTTCTTTCTTTCTTTCTTCTCCATTACAGATAACAGCCAAAGCAGGTAATCTGAGGCCGTACCGCACAGTGACTGGCGTTACGTACTGGAAAAGTATCAGGAACCGCAGCCGACTTGGATGGTCCATACCTCCACCCGCTTCCCCGGTGGACCGATTGGGAATTATTGTTTGTTTGCTCACTTTTTCGTTCGCTTGTAGACCGGGCGGGTGGAGAAAGGGGGGGAAGGATTGGATCACCTTTTGGGGGGAATATCCAGTGTGCAACAGAGTTACTATATACTAGAAATGGACTATCAACAAAAAATTCCATATATACACAACGAATGCTCTCTCCCCTTTCCTGCCTACCACTAACACGGTATGAGGCTTGGGACCGGCTAAACAATCCCCCGCCAGACGTCCTCTCGAAGTTTCACGATGCCAGAGCCTACCGCCGCCACCCCATTGCGTTTTTGTGGAGCTTGGGTATGGCCATGAACCATTCATTTGACTTCTCCTAGTACTTTTCCTTAGACTGGGAGCGGCCCCGGGCCCCTTTGCCGTCGCCACCAGTTAGCAGGGGTTATCTCGTCGTCCATAAGGAACCGATATTCCCTTTCGGTTTCCCTCCGTCAGCTGTTGGCTTATAAAGAGAGAGCCTACCGTTTGACTATCACATAAACGAAATCGCAAAGGAAAGGATATTAGGGGAAAAAAAGACAAAGGATTGAGAGAATATAACCAGCGGAAGAAACGATGGAATAAAAAAATTAGGTGGAACTAGCGTGCAAATGCAGCCATTATTTTTTAAGAAAAACCCCGTTGAAAACAATGAATTTAAGGGGGAAATGAACGAAACTAAGCAAAGAAATATACAGGAGAATGTACACCAACCTCATACACATGCCATTCGTCGAGGAGAGGAGAGGAAAAGACAAAAAAAATTACTCCAGACAAATGAAACTCGTCACAAGAAAGAAATACAACAATAAAAGCGGATTCTTCTCACCTAGCGAAAGCTTCGCCAATCTCCCAGCTTCGCCCTCCCCATGGACATTCTCCCCCAACACCCTAGCTCTCATGCATTTCATTGCAAATGTCGACCTCGTCCGCATAATCTCCTGTCTCCTCTCCCTTTTGAACATACCCGAGCAGCATGTCACGAAAGCCCCCAAGGGGCACAACGTCGATGTAAGGGTGATGCTGAATCTCCTTTTGCATCTTTGTTCGCTGGAGATCAGAAGGGTCATGCGGGGTTCTGAACAGCGATTCTTCTATGGTCTCTCGCACGAATGGTGGTGGTGTGTCGCCCTGAAGCATTTCTAACCTATTAACGTTCAGGATCTTGCCAATCGTCATTGTTGCGTTGAAGAGTTTGGAGTGATTGAGAGTCAGATAGAAATCGTCTCGAGGCATTGTTGGGTTCGAGTGCAAAGAGTTCGGGTTCGGGTTAGTGATTGGGTTAGGCGAATAGGTTGGTGATAGGGTTGGAAATTCCGCTTGGTCTGGTGTCTCAATATGGGTAGTTTGGCGGACATTGGGTCGATAGATACTGCTCGTATTCGAATCTTGAGAAAGGAGGAGGGAGTCAGTTAGCGGTGCAGACAACGAATGGTTGATTCGAGGGGGGGTGTACGCTTGCAGTTGTTGATGGGTCGGCGTTGGAGACACCGAAGGAGCAGGAACACCGGTGGTAGGAGGGTACTCGGGGGTGTTCGCAATGTATGACTGACTCGAGCCGTAATTTGGGGGCTCGGGGTACTGAAGCTGTGATGGGTTTTGCCAGATTGGATAAGTGTTTTCCGAAGATCTAGCCGTTGGTCGTAGCAGCAAAGGGCTAAAATCACTGGTGTAGACCCCACGAGAGGAGGCAGAGGTGCTGCTATCCTCAGACCCACCAGACACACTCGGAGGTGAGAGGAGGGAGTCAATCGTCGAGAAGCGGCCCTCTGTATCCGCCGCTCCATGGGGGGTGTGGGACGACTCTCCACGGCTTGGACCAGAGCCGGTGCGATCCCCAGGCACTATCGATGTTTCAGTGATAGTGCCTGCTCCAGATGTCGGCTGCTTCGCTCTCTTCTTGCTGGATACTGAGGTGGATGGGCCACTATTCTTTCCAGCCTGTCTCTCAAGTTCTTCTAGACGCTGACGCAGTTTTCGACCTAAAAGGCATAGGGCAGGATAACTTTTCAGCTCAAAATACCCGCCGGACCACTGTGCCAAAATCTGACACTAGTGAATATGATGAGGGTGCTCACGGTAGTTTCTTTGAGCCAAGCGATTTTGGATCTTGCGACGCTCGTTCAAGTCTGTCACCTTGCGCCAATCGTCGTCCTCAGTCTCCATGACTTCAGAGCTATCGTACCCATTTCCTAAATGGTTGAGAAGCAATAAGCACAAGTCCACCAAATTTTGTGGGAAAAGACCAAAAAAAAAAAGGGAAAGAAAAAACCGCTGTGTTAAGCTTACCACTTCGTCCAAATCGGATCGACATGCCGCGATAGAAATGAAAAGATCGACCGAGGTGGGATGATAAGAGATGGAGACAACTCAATTCTCGATTTCGAGAAATTATGTATGTGGCTCTTCACCCTTCGTTATCGATGACCCGGGAGGGAGGGAGAGGCTGTATTATATTATTATTATTATCCTTCCCCGGGGTGGGAGTGTGTATTGATTTTCGTGATCAGATGTGGCTGTGGGGCAACTCGGCTTTTTCTCGGGGGGGGAGACACAAGAGGGGAGTCCAAGGTTGAAATGTTTTGTTTGCCGGGATATCGGATTTGCAGCGGAAGTGGTTGGTGATTGTGTCTTGGTTGCGATTGAATGTTCGCAATATGGAACCAGGAACTCTCGGAGGGGAAGACGCGTCTGCTTAAGTACGGGTACTGTACAGGTATCTCAAGGGCCATGAAAGTAAATAGAAGTTCTAGCATCAGCCAGTAAGGATTCCATTCCCATGCCAATCATGATCACTCCCTGCCAGCCTTACTCTTGGTATGATACCCACCAAGCAGGCGCATGTTGCGAGCTACAGGCATGGGTACAGTACACACCGCTGAGAAATAACGTCGCTCCTGCCACCTGCTGCGCATCCAGGAATAAAAGGGAAAAAAAGGAAAGAAAGAAAGGAAGAAGGAAGGAAAGGGAAAAAAAGGAAAAACGGGGGAAAAAAAAGAAAGGAAAAATCAAAAGAAACAGCAAGGGTGGTAATTGTCCGCCATGTCTGTCCCTCTCGAAGTCTCTTGGGGAGCTCCAAGCAAAGCTGATCCTTCCCCACTCGTGCAGCACCAAGCTCTTCCTCCTTCCTCACCTCCATTCCAAATACAGTTCGCCCACACCCCCGGGGGAGCCTCCACACCCAATGCCACCCCTCCCCTTCTTAAAAATATGTACTGTAGTCCACAGTGCGATAACCTCAGCATCTCTCCATCCAGTGGTAACCTGGAAGGAAGCTGGAGAATTCCTTCTGGAAGCTCGTGGGAGCGTCTATTTCAGGCACGTGGTTTCTAAACTATAATCCATCACACTCCTGCATGCCGTTATAGGATGCTGAGGTGAACCGCTCTCCACCGTTTCACTCCTGCTCCCTGAACCCATCTCTAAGCATCCCGCTCTCAGATCTGTACGTTGCCCGGCCCTGATTCACCGTGTTCCACAAGTACTCCTCCGGCAGTCGAGCACGAAGACTTAGAGTTGGTTACTGGTACTCCGCTGTGCACCGTGCTGATACCGGTAGGTGGGATAGAGCAGGTATCATGATATGCGCCACCAGCAGCAAGTAGGCGAGCAGTGGCATAAGGGCATAATTCCAAATAGCTTGGCTGTATTCCGCGAGAGAGATTTGGGTTCGGATCGTGAGAAAAGTCGTCTGAAAATAAACTATCCCGCACAGATCTCACTATCTCACTCAAACTGCAGCCGCCATCATCACCTAACTTGCTACCCGCCACGCATGCCTACCGTCGGCATCGCGTGTGGAGTGCCGGCACTGTACTAGTACAGTAGTAGAGCCCTTTCCCGGCACCTTTCCCTTTTCTCCAGAACCTCTCTCGGCCTACGGTCGTCATCCTGCCTGCTCCCCCTTGTGCTCCGCTGACATATTCCGCATCCCTTTGCCTCGAATTTCACTTCCTCCACCTCGCTCGCTGTTCACCACTTCCAACCGTATTGTAGTAGGCAACTACCGTAGCCTCCATTATCCCCCCTTTTCGTCAAACCATCTCATTTTCCTCTCCTTTGATTCCCCACCCCCGGTATTCTCCTGCCCCTACTCCGCACGCATGGTGTGCGGGTGAACTGTATTCCAGGAATTGAGGAGAGGGAAAGGGAAAAAAAGGAAAAAGAAAAAAGAAAAACAAACCCCCCTTGCGCCTCAGCCCCTGGCTTTTCCCTCTCCCGTGCGTGGCTATCCATCATCCTCCATTGCGAGTAGACAGTTCACTAACCGGAAAAAAATAAAATAGTTCTAATCTGGGTCGGCCTGCTTTGTGTGCATTGGCACTGGATCTGATCGAATCTCGCTTCGACTGTGGCTGTAATGTTTAAATGTGGATTTTCCGCAGCAGGGCCTCAGCAACAGAGATCCCTCTTACCCGGTGATGAGCGTCCCAATCAGGAACATGCATGGAATATCTTGAAACGCGCCACTGCCGTCCAAGCCACACAGGAATCGAAGACTCCCATGTTTCGAACTAAGGAGCTACAACCCCGTTCTAATCATTCATCTAGTAATCGGCCTCTGGCCAGACCCATGGATAGCCAAAGCAGGAGTGGTGTGAAGTTAAAATTAAGCTCTATCATGACAGGCCGAGGTAGGGCCAATGATCCTGGTCGTCGTGGAACTAGAACCAGGCCTGCAGACGCCGTGCCCGGGTGCCCGACCTCCGCTATCAATAAGCAAAAGTTTGGTAGAGGCAGGGGATCTACCGGTAGGGGAGACAAGGCTTCTCCTGGTCTCGAGAAGAAGTCACGGAAAGCCAAGATGCATACGGATGGAATTAGAAAGCGGAGAACGCCAAAGACAGCGAAGAAGAGGAGGGAATCACTGGCGCAACACCCGCTGGCAAGATCTTTTACTGGTAGGTCAGAGATTAGTGCTTTCCGCCACGAGACTAGTGGATCGATATCTGCGTTCGGATCATATGCACCGGCCTATTGCTATATTTTGGAACATGCTGTCCCCTGTTCGACCGAGGTGCCGGCAACTATTTTTGCTTCTGGGCACTGAGGTATGTCTACGATAATACATCGGCCCAGTGAGAATGCACGAGAGGTCCGGGCCAACATGGTCCCCCCCATTCACCCCATTTTTTTCCCAGCTCTCTCTCACCTTGCCCATTGGTTGATTGCCCCCGACCCTGGCCTGCCCCGCATGCAAAACAGCATACAGTCGCTCGATTACGCTCACACACACACTGCTCATTTATAATAATATGTCCTATTATGCGTCGTTGCTACTCTATGCAGTTGTTATTTCCCTCGTTCTCCCGGGGCTAGGACCGGATCCCCGCTTTTTTGGGGGTGTTTGGATCATATTTTGCAGTTCTATCATCATTTGTCTGACGCTTAGCTCTCGTCGAAACAGATTCGCTCGACCACGCAACGACACACCTCTCAGAAAGCCTGCCGCGAGCGCTCTCGGATAAACTGGAGACACTTCTCTGCCGTACAGCGGCAACAACCAGTCTTTCGGAGACTTATCTTTCCCACTCATCGGGACTTAAGAACGCTCTTTTCTGTTCTTCGCCCTTGCTTTCGGGTTCCTTGGAGAGGAAGGCCGACAGGCTTAAGGGTTTGACTCACGAGGAGTTTGAGAAGTTGGGTGTACTGTGGGGGAAGTGGAAGCAGTGTGTGGGTGAGATCCAACGATTGGCTACTGACGAGGCAACCTTCGCCGAAAGGAGGGAAGAAATGGGTTATGGGAGCGAAAAAGGCGATGACAATGCATCGGGCATGGTAAATAATGACGAGTATTGGGGAGAGCTTGAGTGTGCAGCACTAGCTGAAAGAATAGAATCGGTTGGTGAGGTTTGGCTAGAGAAGATGGAGGAATGCGAGAAAGTCCGAATCCTTCCCATATTTTCATTACATCCTGCGCTTTACTGGTCACAAAAATATCACACTTTTTTTACCCCTCGTAGCGTATCTTTGCTAACACTACCCCGATTTCTCCCCGTATTGAAGAAAATCGCGGACGAAGAACTCAGGCAGCGGCGTCTGGCGGCCACTGTCCTTCTCTAAGATCTCTGCGAAGATCGTCACGCCCTTGAGGTGGCACACATCTAAAGGTGGGCAGAGGTAGGAAATTCGCAGGACACTAATTAGTTGGGGCAGGATTGCTCGTATGGAGCACAAGGACTGATACGGAGGTTGTGCTATCGATCCAGCCACACATACCATAGGAGTTCGATTTATGCGAGACTTTCTCTCATTGTTTTAGCGATCTGGGGTTGAGGATTTTTCACGGACCATTCGGCAAAATGGGATGGCAAGGTTATATTGGAGGCAAATATTACCGGTATACGGTATCGTATCGTACCTGGGTTAAAAAAATCCTCATGTGGCCCGGCGGTCATCTGGTGGCTCTTTCCCTTCTTCCCCCACTTCAAACGACCACTTGGGGATCATTGATTTGTTTTTCTTCTCCTTTTTTTCTCCCTCAATCGTATTCCTATTGTTTTTATTATTAGCCCTTACTCGTGCCGTCGCCGAGAATAAATCAACTATGTTGTAAAAGCCTAGTAAACTAAAGTGATAGGCCTCCGTACCCACAAACTAAAAAGGGCTGTCATGATTGGAAAATTTACCGGTATTGAGTTGCGTTCGGATGCCTAGTGTATGCACTCGTACTCTCAGTTGAAAATAAATTTCTGCAGGAAAAAAATAGTTTTAAGGTTCGCACGGTTTCCCCCCCCCCCCTTTGTCTGAGAGCGCCTACATGCCAACCTCCCTCACTTTCCTTGCCCTTGCTCGTACTTGAGCGTATCATATGTACACATATATGCCACAGTACGGTGACACCACATGGCTGATGCTATGATAAGGGAGGCAGAGGGGAAGAGAGAGAAAGAAACAAAAGGGCTCCCCCCTACACAGGCAAGGCCGTGGACCGCAATGCCTAACTTGAACATAACTTACCTACGAGAATCGTACAAAATAGGGTACGGTATCATGAAAAAACGGAAACGCGGTGGTGTACTCGTACACTGGCAGACCAGTGGTTGGCTTTACCTAATCCATCCATCCATGCACCCACTTTATTTAACTTGACAGCTCTTTCCTTCCTCGGTACGGTGTTATATCATTAGCATCTTTATTATTATTATTAGACCGTCGATTCACTAGTACTGTACGAATACAACACGGTACCGGATGATGCGCCTTCCCTTAAGTCGGGGGGACCCGGCGCTCGGGTGGGAGTGTGGGTGGGTGTGATGATTGTTGTGAAACTACCGGCAATGATGTAGAGTACCTCGTGATAGGGATAGGGGAGTTGGTTTCGGGAAAAAATGAAACAAAAACGGTTGTCCCTCTTTTTTTCTTTTTCTTCTTTCTTGTAGAGTGACGGGGATAACTTAACTCTGATGCGCGGGATGGGGGGACGGGTAGACTACCTTACGTAGCAGTCGCATCCTTCCTTTCTTCCCTTTTCAAATTTGATTTCATGGAGAGAGGAGGTGCTTGTTTATGATAGAGTGGTTCTTATCCAGGTTTGGTTTAGGAGGAGGGGTGGGGTTGTTTGGGCTGTATCATCATACAGAAGGATATGATACCTAGGGATTAGTTTTTGGGTTTTTTTTTTCTAGAATCGGTAGAGAATGGCGGAGGGATGAAGTACTGGTAATGGTATGATGCTAGCACTGTGCACCGAGTTAAATTATGATGATACCATACCCGTCCACGGTGAATTTGGTTCGGGAATCAGGGAATCATAATGGGGTGTTTCTATACCCCTCCTTCCACATTTCTTTCCTTCCTCCTCCCTTTTTCTCTCTCCTTGATACCGACCCTTTTTTCTCCTCTCGTATCATATCATACCTTTTGATAACTGCTGCAGACTACCTTACCCACCCACCGCAACTTACTTGGCTATGATACTCGAGTGCAGTACCACACCCACCTTCCCGATTCGTCCATTTTTTACGATTCGATTCGATACGGCTGTTTACGATACGGTACGATGGGTGACACAAGAAACACAAAGTTTGTCAAGGACCGCACCGCACATGATTTACGCCTCCTTCACGCGTTTGTTAAGGGATGCGACTGCGACGCCTGGCATGGTACTGTTACCGTACCCGGCGCGAAGGGCTCGGAGATTGGTTTCTCTGACGTCGCCGGACCGAGCTGCGGACATGGCGGCGGGGAGGATGCATTTCGTTGGTATCATGATATGGGTAAGGAAGGTGGGAAGGCAGGGAAAGGGAAGGGGGAAGAAGGAGCATGGTAACACGCATGGACCGATAAGCTGGAATCTGGTTCGGCCCATCCGTTCCGGCATACGGGCTTGGACTTCCTAGATTCCAGGTAAAAGTGCCATGATGTACCGGCACTGTACAAGTACCCCTCTGCACAGTACGAGCACGGTAGATATGCTGCATAAACTACGTGGTGATACCAAGATTAGTGGACCCTACTCTACAGTTGCACGATGCACAGAATATACTTCCTTCCTCACTCATCCACCCTTTTTTTTTTTCTTTTAAAAAAAAAAAAAAAAAAAAGATGACCGCATTTTCACAACTTCATGTTTTAAAAATCTTTCTCACCATTAAAGCCCGAGATCGGATCTGCTCGTATATACAGGTACTTGTCGCATACCGGTAGTAACTGTCTAGACCATGATATGATAATTATGATAGTTACAAGTACTACCGTATCATCCATCCTCCCCTCCTTCAATCATACCAAATCACTAGCCGGTGCAACGAACGACACTGAAATCCCTCTCTTCCCTTTCTCCCCTCTCCTCTTCCAAAAAGAAGAAAAAAAGAAAAAAAAGGAAAAAAAGAAACGCCCTAACCCTCAGCCTCATTCATACCGAGCCAAATCCCACGCGGGGCGCTAGTCTAGGTACGATACGGTACTGATACTGGGACTGTACCTGTACTGTACTGTACTGTACGGTACCACAAGTCCCACAAAGAAACTTAGACTAAACACTCCCCCCCCCCATACCGTACGAGTTAGTTCCTACGGTACCGTACTAGTACAAGTACTGTACAAGTACGGACACCCTTTTACGTGTATTGTAAATCAGTGTGTGTGATACTATCCGGGTATCAAATACCGGTAATATCATAGTGAACAGTAATTATGGTACTGGTACGGTGCACTAAACCTAAACCTAAACTCAACCCACCACCACCGCCGACATGATAATTATGATTCCAAAATTACCCATACGAAGTTACGATGTTCCAAAACCGGATAATAATACCATACGGTATCATAACGCTAGAATGTTTTTTAAAAAAGGAGTTTGGTTATTTCCGTCCCAATCTCCCCCATCTCAACTTGGATTTATAATTATAATTATCCCCCCTGTATGCACGAGCGCACATTGGCCGGACGGGGGAAAAAACGAGGGGATGGGGGGGGAAGGGAAGGGGAGGGATGCTATGCTAAGCCACGAAATGGAGATTTGTGGCTTATGATGTTTTTTTGTTTTTTTTGTCCCGTTCTCGCGTTTGTGTTAGGTTAAGGGTTGTCGTACAGAAGAAGTACCGTAGAGTGCTGTACTCGTAATGGTAGATTGGGGCTGGTTCAGCGGCTGGCTGGGCTGGGCTGGGTTGGCTGGAGTGTTCTGCATGTCGCTTACCCAATTTACCTACTGTGGGCTTGTGCGTTGGGCTTAGAATAATTTTTGTGTGTGTGTGGGGCTGGTGGACTGGTCTGATTCTGCGTGGTGGACTGCATTGCACCGGATTGCACCGAGCGTTTGGAAAGTTCAGCTACGGTACGGTACTTTTTTTCTTTCTTTTCTTTTTTTTTTTTCCCCCTAGGGAGGGAAGGGGATGGAGATGTGGGACCGGTATGGTTCTGGAAGCTCGATCGGACTGAGGGAGTTGGTAATTCTGGTTTCTTACTCTGTTGAACGATACTGTGGTCCACGATTTGGTCTTGCGTGAGTGTGGACTATATTAGACTGTACTGGTCCGGTATGGACTGAACTGCCTTACGGTCTGACTGGACTGGTACGGACTGTTCAATGTGCTCGACTTGCTCCATTGAGAAATCTTACGTACGTTTGGTATACTGGTATGGCTTCGACCATTTAATTCTAAATGTGCTGGGGGTAGAGCTGAGCTTATCCGCCAGCAAGGTGCCAAGGTCCGACCGCCGGTATGATACAAGGAAGAAGAACAAATAAATGGATAACCCAAGCAAATATTTACGTTTCCCTTCCGAAGCCCAATCTATCGTCTTACAGTAACATGGTGTCGTGCATTTTTAGGTTCGGCACTTACTAGATCAACATCTTGCCTTGTCCACTAATTGAAGTTCCGGCAAGGATATCTGACAGGAGAGACACACGCTAGTTAGTGATATGCCTGGGGGGCCGACATCCGAAAGTTTAAGTAAGAAAGAGGGGAAAGAACGCATACTCGCTAGGGAAACCTTCGTCCTTGGCGATTTTCCATGTCATGCCTTGTCCGGGGAGAGGTGGCAAGCCATCGGCCCTGAGAACCTCCGAGACTGCCCTCTCGCCACCCTTCTCGAACGCTAATGGCAAGCCACCTTTCTCTCCCTCCTCCTTGACGACAACAAGTTGCCTCTCACCCTCTTGGCCGACGCCTATGCGCGGGCTGGCTGCAGAGCCCAGCTCAAGCAGCACGGCAACGTCGGATTGCTTGAATGTGCTCAATTGAGGGTAATTGCGTCTCGTGTCACGTTGCCAGTAAGGATTCTGAGCAATGTCTGCCGCGGGAAGCGTCACGGGGTCGGTGTACTCGTGAGCGGGAAATGAACCGGGGCCAGGGTTACGAAATGTAGGGTTCAGTGGAACACCACTTGAACGGTTGGGATCAACTGCGAGGAACCGCCGAATAATCTCCCAGATCCCTCTCGATCCAACTGTGTATTTCTGTGGTGGCGGGTAGACGGGTTAGCGAGTGGTTCAGACGACGGATTTGGGCTGGTGGGGCTGAACGCACCTTGACGACCGGCTGGACAGACATGATTGTTTGGATGCGCTGATGGCGGTGGAAGACGAGTTGTCAGCGCAAAGCAGAAGCTTGGAGGTGGATAAGGTGAGCCTTACAAGGCGGTCCGGTGAGGGCTACGGTAATTGAGAAGGTGTGATGCGGTGGTTGAGGAAAGTGTAGATGGAAGCGCCGATGGCTCGTGCGTGATATCGTGGGGTTGGAAAATCGACAGCCCTTGTTTGCCAAGACAATATTACTCAGCAGAAAATTACAATAAACCCGCGTGGCGCAACCCTTCTAACGGTTCTTAAATCCACCCGGCAAACTCCGCGATCCTTGAAATTACGAATTCTTAATCACTGGCACTGAGGAAAAAAAAAGAGAATCACTAATGTCTTCTTCAGTGATGCCCTCATCGCCCCCGCCGCGTCAAGAAGTGCAGATATCCTCCACTGCGGCATCAGACGCTCGGAATTCCGAGGATTTGGTGACCTACTGTTGTGTTTGTTATCTCCCGGTCTCTTCGACTGGGGGTGATAGAGCTACAGACTCCACTAGGGATAACTCAAACAATTACCCAGCTTTTTGGCTGGCTAGTTGCGGCCACATCGTGTGCTCATCCCACGTTTTTCCGGACGGCGGTATGCTTCCTAATTCCAAGTGAGTGGAGGGAGAAGCAAAAGAGAAAAAAAAAGAAAATAGGAAAAGAGGAGAGGGGATTATGAGCTGATATCAGTCTCCCTTAACCTCTAGTTCCACCAGAAGCTGTGAAAAAAACATACAGCTGCCCTTACTGTAAAAGTGATGGGATATCATTAGCTGGGGTGGGTGTTGGTGAGGTGAGCCGTGTCTCAGATAGGAATCTAGAAAAGGAAGGAGTCAGGATAGGGAGTTTGAGATTTGGATTTTGACTACTCCGATTTATTGTGGCACAGGTCCCCATAGGTCTTCGTGATTATTTCCGTCCCGAGTCGGAGCTTCTAGAGGATGTGGCTGGCGCTATTAAGGTTCTATGACTCCTTATATGCATGCGTAGTGGTTGGATATATATTGATTTGAATCACAGTTCAGGACAAATAATCTTATACGAATAGCCAAGCATTACAAGGCCTTATCTGAAACCCTTAAAACAAAAGTTGAGGACCAGAGAAGGGTTTTGTTAAAAGTCAAGGATGAGCTGATCAAAGGGAAAGAGTTGAAGGGGTCTGTTTCAACGAGACAAGTCTTGCACAATTAACATTGAATTACTTTTATGGTTTATTTTTACTGACTAGTAAGACGGAATGCAATTTTGGAGCGGGAGTTGGCAAATGCCCGCCAAGAGCTCGTAGCATTTCGTGCACGGGTGCCGTCCGCGGGATCCAATGATCTTCCGCAGGTAGCTCAACTAAACCACTCGTCACCGCAGACACTCTCACACGGGTCCTCATCTCGTATACCTGCCGGCGATGGGAGACCTGAAAAAAGAAAAGCATCCGATCAAGGTGACGAAGACCCAAGCATTCGGGCTAGGCACTTCAGAGACGAGTTGAACAAGAGACAGAATATGCCGCCACCGATGCTACCTTCGTTTATACAACGGAAAGAACAAGAGTTTGAGGGTGGCGGCCGGGTTCATATAGCGGATCGTAGGAACGGTGATCTTCAAGGGGGTCAGACAAGCATTGGCGCTAGATCCATTGTTGGCGATACTGAAGACTTTCAACAGTCTTGGGTTGTGCCTCGAAGGGAACAAGAGTACCAAAACCTATCTTATCCTGGTTACCCGAACGCATTTGGAGGGCAACAGGCTCCCCTCTTTGGAGATGAGAGTGAAAACGGAGGCCAACCGTTGCAGCCGGAATCGGTATCTAGCGGTGGGTTCATCCGCCCGGGGGAGGGGCAACAGGTGCGGGATAGCAGGCAGTCAGTGATGAGGTACATTACCAGTGCGAACAGGCCATTCAAGCCCCATTTTTGTCAGCAAGGCCCGCCCTTAATTAACGACTCTGCTCGAAGCCAAGGGAAGGATTGTTACGGATCATTCCCGAACCACCGATCCCCAGAAGCATCATATCGACGCAGTCCGCCTCTACAAATGCGAGAGAGAGATAATTTTGCTACGCCTATGCCAATTCGTGGAGTTAACCCCTCCCAGCATTTACCCGAACAAGGTGCCAGTCCAGGATATCAATATGGCCAGCCAGGGGGAGCAATCCCCTCAAATGCTATTAGCGGTGCTGGTGGGTTGGGAGGTGCGAATGCAAATGGGAGCTATGGTGATCCGTCTTCCTCAAGGACGTTAGGAAATCAGATACGAAGGCCGGCAAGCGTAGCTGATTTCGCCTACCGTTCACCATCACAGGGTGGGGGCCCTTTTAGCAGAAGATACGAAAGCGTTTCTTCACTGGCGAACAAGTTTGGGAGATCCGGCACGGAAACCCCAGGTTGGCGCTCCTCCACCGCAATCGGTAGTTCTTACACTAGGGACACCAGTGTAGGAGTACAATTTGGGGGCAATAGCAATGTAGGAATAGGAGCAGTAGCAGGTAGGATGCCGGCGAGGACGGGTATGGGAGCACAAGGAGGAGCGAGTTCGTTTGGGGCTCAGCATCACCAGCAGAGAGGGAGATTAGGTGATCTCTTCTTAGGCGACAGCATCGGAGACAGGGATGGCGAGAGGCCAGGGCTGAGGAGAAGTGTCAGGAGAAACTGAATTTACTGATTATTATATCATACTTGTATGATATGATATTACTCTCCACAACTTTTGCGACCAAAAACAAAAGAGGTTAGCTCAGATTCCTGTTTTTGCAGGATAAAAATAAAATAAAAATGAGTAATTCTCAAAGAATCCGATTTCGCGCTTTATAGTATGATATATCCCGGTCCTCATTTATTTATTCCGCTTCAGGATCCCCCCCCTCTCTTCTTTGCAAACAAGACTGCGAGTACTTTCCAGTATTACAATTCAAGTAGGGGATTGAGTAGAAATGACCTTTTCCCAGTCTCCCCCAGTAAGACCCAACCTTTACGCCCGCTGAGGAAGCATCATATGGTGCTATTCTATGCTGTATGATACAACATTCCCGTGCTATGCATCTCTGGCCCCACCCTAACCTAGATGAAAGCCCTAAAAACTTAAACGCCCGAAAAGCTTGGCCCGGGAGGGCCATCAGTAGCTCTGCCCCTCTTCCTCCCTTTCCTTCCCCTCTCTGTATCTACCCATCTAGCGATATTCTAATTAGGTGGCCGCGCCGCGGCCAATATTCCACATCACCACCAACAGGTGCTTAAGGCAGTATGAGTCGGGGGATAACGCTTTCTTGGGGTAACCTACGGAGCGTTTCGTCCATTCATTTCTTCTTCCAGCCGGCGTTTCAGAAATTCCGGAACGTGTGTAGTTACCACTCGCTCGTTCGCGCGCTCACTGAATTGCTGGCTGACTGCGCAATCTCGTTCAAGTCGTTGGTTCGGACTGGCAAGTGCAGGTTTTTCCCTTCCTTTCCTTTTCCTTTTCCTTTTCCTTTTTCTTTTCTTTCAATACCGGTTGGTTACCGTCGTGGCCCTGGATTTGAGTACTGGCACCCGGATTCGCGCGAACCGGTCTCCCGTGGGTTGATCCCGTCCGATTTTGCGCAGACTGGCCTGCGGGTCACTCCGTTTCCGCTGGGGAGTTTATCGCTGCTGCCTAGGTTTGTGCCTACCACCCCTTACCGTACCGGTTCGTATGGTACTACACCGGCGCGATTGGGGATGGTGGATGCAAGGGAAGTCTCTGGAGTCGTGGGGCATCCCATGCCACCACGGTTGGATGTCTTGAGTCGCGCTGTGGTTATCCTACTTTTTTTTTTTTCCCTGCTGGCTTGCGAGTGACTTTCCATGATTTAGTCATTAAAACAGGGGGTTGGGAGGGGAACTGTGAGTATTGGTAAGTTTTTCCCGGGGGGATTTATTTGCATGTGCCTGGTTCTCCACATGTGCCGGAGATTTGTTTGTTGTGCGCGTGGAATGGAATAGTGAGGGAATTGCATATTCGACCAAATAAGTGCGAGCACTGAGAGGCGGCGGCAGTGAAGTTAAAGTTACGATTGGGGAGGGGCGGTGTAGTGTAGATCTTCCGCCCCGTTCACTGTGGTTATTTGTCAACGACCGGAGGATAACTCACAGTCTGCGGTACCGATCACCGGTCCGGTGGGCTTCTAGAATATTTCCTGCTACAATACCTTTGCGATAATGCGGGTCTCTTTAAGAGCTCGCATGTGAATACTTACCGCTGAATTCTCGACAGCTTCCAATTTCGTACCCCTTGCCACGGCCTGGGCCATGACGGAGGAAGCCCGGCCGAGCCTGAGGCTAGTTTGTATGATACTCGGTAGGGGTTGTGGATTAGGTTTGGGAGGGGTTTACAAGCCATACAATAAACTGCATCTCTGGACATATCCCGAAACATGGCAAAATCAGAAATAAGTATATCTGGGGTAACTTTTATGCGCTCTGGGCCCCCCATCTTGCCGAAATCGTCAACCAACCAACACGTTGGCGTCAAGGAACCGTTTGAGAGTACAGATAAATCGGTAACACATGCTACCCTTTTTCTTTTTTACTTTTTCGAACTCACCCCGTTCGTTATGCATTCTTACAAATTACAATAACCGTCCTTTTGTGTCACTTCCCTACAGGTATGGAATACTCCAGCAAGGGGTATCCCACTCCACCCAAAGATAAACTCGGGGCGCCATTAGTTTCCTCTCCTCGTCGGGCTTCGGGAGTTCCCCCCAGCCCGAGCCGACCACTCGAGCATCGACTTGGTGGGTGGAGATCGGATGAGAGATTGGCGGTCCTAACAACCCCTCGTCCTTATCACTTACTGCCCCTCCAGCCAGCCAGCCAGCCATCCTCGATTCTTCCTTCCTTCCTTCCTTCCGCTTCATCTTCCCCTGAATAACCGCCTCCACTCGCCCCCACTCCACTTCTCCTTTCCTTTTTTTTATTCCAACCTCTGCATCCACAGGAATACTGTAGTTGAAACTAGGAGATTAATAACGGGGAATCGCGTTTGGTGGCTATGAAATCCTCATGCTGGGGCATCCGCGACATCCTCGAGTGGCTCCGTGAACCCTGCCCAGAGGTGGTGGGTCGGTGTATGCATGCCCTCCGAGTGACCGCTAGTCCACCCCGTCTCAGATAGAACCCCTCCAGCATGTCCCGGAGATGCAGAGCCCTATCGCAGGGCCATGGTTGACAGTTATATGCATGGCTCGGACTGCTTAGTCACATAATCGACGTCGATCAGTCATGACATTGATCATCGGGCCGGCAATGTACTTTTCGGCATTTAGGTCTTGGACCGCAGCTACAGCCAACTATTATATATAGTATGGCGCCCAAGGCTAACAAACAAGTCTAGGAACCGACAAGTGCAGTATGGTATGTTACAAGTATATCATAGTCGGGTTTCCGGTAGGGATGTTAGCGACCAGGTGAACAAGAGTTTTTTGGGGGTCAAAGCGTTCAATATCCTCAGAGTTTTTGATATATCACGGAAAGAGTATTTTTACAAGGTGATTCGGTAAGAATTATGCCATTCTGGGTTATGATAGATTTTTTTTTAAACTCCCCCCTCCCCTGCCTGCCCCACTATTTACTGCACGAGTGCAGTACTCTACCCCCTCCCCAGATCCGAGAATGTCTCGGCATGCACACCGAGGTGATATATGTGCGCTCCAATGGCGGTGGATGCCTCGCGGTGCCCTATAATACTATATATATAGTCGCGCTGCCGACGGGAGGAGGAAGAGGAGAGACGGTGGATATCATAAAATGAGATGGATAGATGGATAGAACTGAATATTTCCTGTTATAACATCAATGTTGGCGGCTTCGCTGGCCGCGATTTTGCTGCTAGGGCTATGGGTATCGTGCTACCCGCCAATAGTAATACTCTATCATACTTACCTTGTGGAATCCCCAGTTTTTTTTCTTCATTTTTTCTTTTCTTCCTCCTCTTCCCCGCAGAAGAAGGAAGGGTAGAAAAAAGAATGTGAATTCTTGTGATATACGAATAGTACAGACAGACCTCTGAACTACCCCGTCCAAAAAGTATGATGAATTCACGCACACGAGGAGTCGGTGGGGGCAGGGAGAGATGAGTAGTAAGATCACGAGTTCGATCGTATCACTTCCAGCGCCAGTCGCCAGAGAATACCTTCATTCCACGACCTTCAATGCTCACCACCGAGCCAATCCTCCTTCCAAGCTATCATACCCTCCCTCCCTCCCTCCGTCCATACACAACATACTGACTAATTATGATACAACGGGAGCATTTACCCTCCTCACGCAGAGCCTGCTCCTGAACATGACAATCGCTTGGGTATGATACCTGTAGTAAATGGGTTCTACATCCCATCAACCACAGACGCAGAAATCACCCCGCCGGTAAAAAAATAAAATAAGGAAAACCAGTGAAACTCTAAAGTCCACGAGTATGAAGAAAAGGGGAAAAGAGAAGAAAAAAAAGAAAAAAAAAAGAAAAAAAAAACAAGTCCTGCTTGTTAAACATCTCGGATTAGGTTCTCGGAGGAGGACTGGTTTCACAAGGGCTCACTCGGGACTTCGAGAATATGATAATACTGTATCATACCCCTCCTCGCACAATAAAGTTCCGGAAAAAAAAATAAAAAAAATAGTTAACGGGCCCTGCCCCGTCGCCTTCGAGATCGTCGCATGTGCCGTTCAGGGAATAGTTGCATAATCTTGCGAAGAGTGATAATACAAGTACACAAGTTACATACGCTATCCGCAGAGCAGTTAGGGGGGGTATCACATTTGGGGCATCATAATATTGTAAATTACTAGCCTCAGAATGCATCCCATCCCATCCAGCAAACGGAACCAAACAGAACAGAGCGAAACGAATAATAGTGATCCGTGGGTGGACTGCACCCCCTCCCTCAAGGCGGGCGCCTTTGGGAGGGGAGGAAAAGATTCATCTGGCTCACGTGTGGCTCCTATGATACGCTGGGTGCGATCGAATCAGCACGCGTTGGCTATACTGTGGTGCGCTTCATCCGCTGAGATCAATGTGGTCGGTTTATCTCTTGGATTCCGCTCCAGAATTCACTGTGCAATCCCCCACCGCTTCGGGGAATGGAGGGTATGCCGAGCTTGGAGGGGCCATGCCGATCGGTAGGTGGATGGGTGGATACTCTCAGCTGGTGATCGGAAGCCATATTGGGGGACTAATAGGTCGAGTGAGAGATTGTGATTAATGGGATTTTTAAGGGAATTCGGCAGAGCGCGAGATGCCTGGGGACCTGGAGACTC